TTGTGGGCTATTTTTGTCAAGGTTCAAAATGAAAGTAATTCTCAACTCTATAAAGAGAATACAAGAGCTGTGGATAAAAGAATGTTTTGTTTGTTTTTGACTTAATGGGTTTCATCATAAAATGTTAGCTTTTAGATGACCTGGGTTGTCAAGTGCCCTAGGTCAAAGGCAATCATCAGAGTTCTGCTGCTATACAAACCCATAGCATACCCCAACAAGGCTCCTAATTCAGAGGGTTTCTCATGTGGAAACAGCACTATTGCAAGCAATTTCCAAGGCATTGGATTTTCAAAGATGCCACAATAAATGTATTAAAGAAAAATACATTGGATTGAACTTTCTATTGTTGTTGGAGGATGCCAACATAAACATTAAAAAACTTAACTATTGAATTGTGCGTTATCTGATGGTTGCAGTATAGTTTTCTTGCTCCTGCCCATCCTCCTTAGAGGTGCTTTGGTAGTTTGATTAGTTGGACACAGCAGAAATAAGAATGAATATGCCTGGATTATTACTCTCTGAGTAATTCAGGGTTGACTTTTTATAATATATTTTTATTGATTTCAGAGAGGAAAGGAGGAGGAGATAGAAACATCAGTGACAACAGAGTATTATTAATTCACTGCCTCTTACACGCCCTCTACTGGGGATCAACCCAAGCATATTCCCCTGACTGGAATCAAACCTGGGACCCTTCTGTCAGTAGGTTGATGCTCCAACCACTGAACCAAACCAACCAGAGCCAAGGCTGACTTTTGAGAATGATGAACAGAAAATTATATTAGGAATGTGATAAAGACCAAAGGAATACTTGTTGGAAGTGACAAACATTTAAAGTATTTACAAAAGTAAAGCCCATCACAAGCTGCCTCTGCTGTGGCTCTTTCTTTAGTTCTTGCCTTAGGTCTGGGAAACAGTGAGAAGATTGGCACTTCCCATTTAGAAGACTAGTGTTGAGGAACTTCCTTCATAAGCCACATTCAGACTACTTACTATAGGGTAAAGCCAATGCTATTTGGGTAGTGAATTTCATGCTACTTTAAATAGTAGAGAAACTTCTATAGAAAGCAAGATAGAAAAATGAAAAGAGGGTACAAATAGTTTTGACTTATAGAACCCTGAGTTCCAGCTTTAGTAAATGTTATTGCTTTCAAATAAGTTTATTATATAAAAATAAATTTATTTATTTGTTTGTTTTTAAGAGAAAACCATAATCAGCAATCAACATTTTCTCATGGATTTTGAGAGAGAGAGAGAAGGGAAAGAGACAGACACTAGGGAGGGAGGGAGGGAGAGAAATATCGATGTGAGAGAGTCACATTGATTGGTTACCTTGGTTGCCTCTTGCGTGTACCCTGAGTGAGGCCTAGGTGTGAACCTGCAATCTTGGTAAGTGCACTTGACCAGGAATTGAGGGCCAATGTTCTAACCACCTTGCAACACTGGCTGGGATGCTTATATTGTAATAGCTGTACTACTACAAGTAGCACAGCTATTACAATATATGGTGTATAATGATGTAAAACTACTAAAAGTTTTAGTAGAATTATTACAAATATTTTTTCTTTCAATGTTTATGTTGATAGGTTCTTCTTGACATCTTGTCCATATGTTTATCTTTGCCGGCAAGTGCTTTTGAGCATCAGTGGTGTTTGAACATTATGTCTCTCATTTACATGAGGAAATGCCACTTTGAGAAGATTCCACCTTACAATCTTGATTCACAGAGTTAAGTTCTCTCTCTCTCTCCTATCTAGACTCTTCAGATTGGGAAGCTGGAATTTTGGTACATTGAATTCCTGTCCATTCATTTTCCTGGCTTTTCCACACTCAGGTCCTGTTTATTCCTTCTAGCTTTTGGTGTGCAGGGGCCCTATCCATTCATCATTATAGCTTTGGCAGCTTGGTGTACGGAATTCCCCCTGTGCCATATTGCCCATTTAAGGAGACACCCTGTTGCTCTGATTGAGTGTCTAAGGTAACACTACTGATCATTGCTCCAAGATACCTTCCCTTTTCTGAAAGGAAGAGAAACCTGCAGTCTCAGCTCTCTCCTGGTTTTGCTTCTGATTTCCATACTTGATCCAGATTTAGACTGGAGAGCTTTTCTAAACTCATAGTCACTGCCACTCAGTAACATTTCTTTAGCCTTCAACTCCCTTTCATTCCCAGTTGTTTACTGGGAATCATATATATTGAATATCTGATAGTTTTATCTGAAACTGAATATTGTTTTTTGTCCCAAAGTTGGTCTTGTGTTTGCCTTTGCCCAGTTACCCACACCACAAACTAAGCATCTCAGATTCATCCCCTTTCATGCTGCCGCCCACTCACCAAACTCTTTTAAATAAGTCTCTGTCTGTATTTTAACAATTATACATTTTAATTGTCTTTTCACTCCACTGGCTTTCCATTAATTTAGAACCTCAAGACTTCTTTATTATCACACAAACGAGCTAAGAGTGTTTACCTTCTTGTCTTTTATTCTTGAAACCTGCAGAATAAATGCAACTTAAATATATGTACATTCAAGGGTGAACCCTCTTTTGGATTACCCCAATCTCTAAAAATTCTCTTAAGTAAGAATTATACTAGCTAACATTGATTGAGTACTTGCTATTTTCAGGAACTATTCTGAGCAATTTGTCATAATTAAAGAAGATAACAGATAACACTTATCATATGCCGTCCAGTAATAATACCTATACTGTTAAAGAAACTGCTCAGGTTTACACAACTGGTAAATTGTGTAAACTGGACTCACTTGGGGAACCAATTCAAGATTAGCAACCTCATGGTGGAGTGTACCGCAGGTGACAGGATACATGTGTCTCTATCTCCACTGTTCAGGTCTTCTATAGAGTCATTTTCCTGTGAGATAATAAATGACAGGAAAGTACAGACATTGCTTTCCTCAAATGTATTTTTCTAAAAATTAAGTTTCCAAACTTTTTGTGTTTGGCTTAATCCATTAGATGTCATTTTATTTAAAAAGATTTGCATTAAATTTCACTCATAAAGCGATTTGTGGATTGGGGGAAATGTTTAACTTGTAACATTTCTTTTACTTGTGAAATACAAGGGATAAATGATTTGCACACAATTAGTATTTATTCTCTGCTTTCCTTTTGAAAAAACATTACTAAAGAGGTTATACAGTTGAAGAGTTGTTATAATGAATTTAATTGTTTTCTGAATAACCCTGCCAGCTGATTAAAATAAGCCTAATTTAATCAGTATTGTATTCCATACTAAAGGTAATTTAGGCTAATGTCAAGAACATTTTTATCTTTGTAGAAGGTATTGAAATAACGAATGTCACAAAAAAAGTCAGAAAAATGTTTGAAGTTTTCCTTCTTTGCCTCTGGGATTTTGTAAAGCTCAATTTTCCTTTTTGCATGCAGATTAAACTGAAAGGCATTTTGTAATATAACATTAGCACTTTTCACCATTTCTTTGTTTGTTCAGTTATTTATTTGTATCATGGTGGACTCACAGATACTTAGTTTACTTCTGGGTTATAATTTATTTAGTTGTTCACAGGTTGTCCCAGCTTTGGCCATTGGGATCTTCTTCAGGTTGTTGCCCAATTCCCTTTGATGTGCCTCCATCATTTTTGAGTGCATCAAACGAGTCCACGCTCATCATGTATTCTATCTGCCCCAGCCCTGGAGTTATTTTTCTAAGGAGCCTAGTTTATTTATTGGAGAATGGTAATAGAAACCAAGATCTGGGTACTTGTGTTCATTGGTACTGGGTGTTATTGATTCTAGGATCTGGTAGTAGATGAAACTAAGAAATACAATTTTTTTTTTTTTTTTTTTACCACACATTTATACTCATCTGTCAGTCGACTTACCTACCTACCTACCTACCTACCTACCTATCTACCTGTAAAAACTATGAGTTCATATTAATGCCTCTAGTTCTAACCTAATACCAAAGAGTGCATTTTCTTATTTGTATCTTTAGTTTTTTTTTTTTTTTAATATATTTTTATTGATTTTTCACAGAGAGGAAGAGAGAGGGATAGAGAGCTAGAAACATTGATGAGAGAGAATTATCGACCAGCTGCCTCCTGCACACCCCCTACTGGGGATGTGTCCGCAACCAAGGTACATGGCCTTGACTGGAATTGAACCCGGGACCTTTCAGTCCGCAGACCGATGCTCTACCACTGAGCCAAACCGGTGCCGGCCATGTATCTTTAGTTTTGACAGTAAGAATTTGGCTCCCATTATCCCAAATATTTTTTTTTTTTCATTTATTGCTGGTGTGTATGTGTGTGCGCGCGTGTGAGCACGGTAATAGTGGTGGTTATGGTCATATCGAATAGTAGTGTGAGAATTTATAAACTATACACTTGTGAGAAATAAATTTACTAACCAGAATACAGTTATTTCTAAGGCATTTCTTATTGTCATTTGCTTCACATTAAACAGTGAAAAAGTTTTTCAAAGTCACTTAGTTTATATCTTCCTTAACACCTTCAGTTGGTTGAATTTTTCATAGGTAACATATTTAGGTTTATTTGTATTCCATTTTAGATTATCCTGCTCTGTGGTTGATTTCAATTATTTATTTGTGTTTTAGGTATTTGGATTATTATGATGGTTCTGAGAGTCACTTACAGAAGTATCACTGCACTAGTATTTCCATTATCATTATCATTCTTTCTCTACCTCACTCTTTCACCCCTATTTCTACTAACTCATTGTAGACAATAAATTTCATTTTATATCTTTCCTACATTTCTATCTCTCTTAGTATTCTGTGACATTAAAACATTTTTATTGTTTTTCATCCATATAATTTTGGATATGAAATGCACAACTTAGAAAAGAAAAAGTAAAGCATCAAAACTCAGGGAAAGACAATTTCTTGAAGTTTTGCTTCCTAAAATATAACATTGCTAATAGTATAAATATCAGTACTGTTTCTCTGTCAGAGGAATGGAAAATGCCTTGGCATATAATATCCCCTTTACCTTTCTTTTCCAGCTGGTAGCAGTGTTTGATGAACAGGATCCACATCATGGAGGTGATGGCACCAGTGCTAGCTCCACAGGCACCCAGAGTCCAGAGATATTTGGCAGTGAGCTTGGCTCCAACAATGTTTCAGCCTTTCAGCCTTATCAAGCAACAAGTGAAATTGAGGTCACACCTTCAGTCCTTCGTGCAAGTAAGTGACAGTTCTTTCTTTAATGCACACTTTATCTTAAATTACAGGCATGCCAACTTTTATTATCCAGCCATGAACCTGTGAATGGGATTTTATAGAAATTGTTTTTATAAAAATAGATTAAATTTATAATCAGAACAAATGTATTTTGCAAAAGAAATAGGCAAGGTTCTTTACATTTTCATAGATTGTTCTTATTTTACTTTGGACTGGTAGACTTTTAATTGTTCACTAAAAGTATATATTTAAAAGCCTAATATGCTAAGTGTCTGACCACTCAGTTGATCGTTCGACCAGTTGCTATGATGCACACTGACCACCAGGGGGCAGACACTTTGACAATAAGGCAGACTGCTGCTGTGATCCGGCTGATTGGGACTAGGTGAGAGGGGCTGGACACACCCTGGAGTCAACCTCTCTCAATGGTCCCTCCCCAGCTTCTAAAATATTTCTTCTAATGAATTTCTTTCAGTGTGCACTCATTCATGCATCGGGCCTCTAGTATTAGTAGAAAAGTTAATTTCCTGAATTTTTCTTTCATATAGTTCTAACAGAAATAACTAAAGAGCTTTACATTGAAATGAAATATAGCATGTTTGATTGCCAGTCAACTTGGTGATAACCATTACTTGAACTTTATCTGTTGAACAGGAGGAGAGACCTCAAGGCCATAATTATCTTCAGAGATCTGGAAGAGATGTATTAGAATGCCATCTCAAGGAAAGAAAACATAGGATAGAGAGAGTTTATATTAGGAATCCTAGGACCCAGAGTACCGTAGTTCCAGTACACTTGCTTGAAGAATTCTGTCAGTCATTCTTAAAAGGTTACTTAGAAAAGTGAGTAACTTTGCTGGAAAACATGTTTTGTTTTTTTTGTTTTTGTTTTTTTTAATTGTATAATCTTACTAGATGCCAGTGCATGAAAATTCTTGCACTGGAAGGGGGTCCCTCAGCCCAGCCTGCCCCCTCTCACAATCTGTGAGCTATCAGGAGCGGAAAGCAACCCAACATTCAGGGGAAAGTGACATCCCCATCATGCCTCTCCTGCTGCCACTGCTGGCAACGTAAGTGTCAGCCACCATCTGAGGCTTGCCTGTGCCTTGGGCCGGCCCTGGGTGGCTGGGGGGCTGAGGGGACTGAGGGACTCAGGTGCTCAGAGTATTGTAGAAATAATATTTAATTATAGTACATAAATAATGCTACTAAAATTTTTCATGTTGAATTTTCTTGGGGCAAAATATTTTAAAAGATGAGGCTTAAACTATGTATAGTATACTAGACAATATATAAATAGTATACAGGTTACCTTATTTTGTTTCTTGTTTTTAAAAACATGTTTTTATTGATTTTAGAGAGGAAGGGAGAGGGAGAGGGATAGAAACATTGATAAGAGAGAAATATCAACATCTATTGGCTACCTCCTGCATTCCCCCTGCTGGGGATTGAGCTTGCATCCTGGGCATGTGCCCTGATCAGGAATTGGACCAGGATCTTGGAGCATGGGGTGACATTTAACCACTGAGCAACACATGTAAGAGTAAGCCTTCTTTTCCCTGGCTGCTGACCCAGGCTTCCCTTGTAACCCCAGCTTTATCTGGAAGGATGTCCGGAAGGATATCTGGTCTAATTAGCATATCATGCTTTTATTATTATAGATATACCAGCTCATTAAATCTGTGCTTTAATCCTTATCTGCTTAGAATAAGCATGTGTATAAAGTAGATTGCATTTAAATAAAAATTCAATTATACATATTCAAGTACCTGAGGATTAGAATATAGTGGTTGTATGTGAATAATTACATTCTAATGTACATTATTAAATACAGAATTTTTTTTGTTACTGTTATAGTTTTTTTTTCTCATCCTATGTAATAAAAGGGTAATATGCAAATTGACCATCACTCCAACACATAAGATGGCTTCGCCCATGTGGTCAAAGATGGCTGCCCTATGTGGACACAATATGCCCACCATAAGATGGCCTGCAGAGGAGGGTAGTTGGGAGTGATCAGGCTTCCAGTGGAGGACAGTTGGGGGAGAGAGGGAGCAGTCCTGAAAAGGAGGGTGGGGGCAGTTGAAAGAGACCAGGCCTGCAAGGGAGGGCAGTTTGGGATGACCAGCCTGCAGGGGAAAGCAGTTGGAGGTGATCAGGCCAGCAGTGGAGAGGAGGTTGGAGTGACCAGGCCATCAGAGGAGGGCAGTTGGGGGAGACCAGGTCAGCAAGGGAGAGCAGTTGGGGGCAACCAGGCCTGCAGGGGAAGACAGTTAGGGATGACCAAGCCTGCAGGGGAGGGCAGTTGGGGTTGACCAGGCTGGCAGGGAGGAGGGTTAGGGGCAACCAGGTTGGCAAGGGAGTGCAGTTAGGGGTGACCGGGCCAGCAGAGGAGGGTGGTGGAGGCAACCAGGCCTGCAGTGGAGGACAGTTGGGTGAGGACCCAGGCCTGCAGTGGAGGACAATTGGGTGAGGACCCAGGTCTGCAGGGAAGGACAGTTGTGGGGGACCAGACTGCAGGGGAAGATAGTTAGGGGCAACCAGACTGGCAGGGGAGGGTAGTTAGGAGTGACCAGGCTGGCAGGGGAGGGCAGTTAGAGGCAATCAGGTCAGCAGGGGAGCAGTTAGGCATCTATCAGGTTGGAGAGGAGTGTTTAGGGGGTGATCAGGCTGGCAGGCAGAAGTGGTTAGGGGCATTAAAGCAGAGGCAGGGAAGTGGTTGGGAGCCAGCAGTCTTGGATTGTGAGGGGCCGTCTTGTGTGTTGGAGTGACATCAATTTGCATATTCCTCTTTTATTAGCTAGGATGGTACCTATATAATAAAAGGTTAATATGCAAATCAACCAAATGGTAGAACATTTGGTTGATTTGCATATCAAATCAACCAATTGTTCCACCAGTCACTATGACATGCACTGACCACCAGGGAGCAAAGCAGGCACTGAACACAGGAGCTGCCCCCTGATGGTCAGTGCACTTCCACAGGGGGAGTGCCGCTCAGCCAGAAGCCTTGAGCCAGGCTCATGGCTGGTGAGTGCAGTGGCTGTGGCAGGAGCCTAAGCTGTCAATTGGGCATTGCCTGAGGACTCCCGGATTGTGAGGGGGTGAAGGCGGGGCTGAGGGACACCCCCCCTTCCCCATCTAGTGTACCAGGCCTCTAGTTAAAAAACAAAGAAGCTAGGAAATGTTACTAGAGTTACCTAAAGGGCCCGGTGGTCAAGTTTAGACTCCCACTGCCTCAAGAGGGATAATTGAAACATGGATAAAGATAGTAACAGTAGAAAGTTCATGCATCCATAATGATAGTAAGTAAGCAAGTTGTGGAAAAAATGCTAGTGAAACAACTTTTAGTAATTGGAAAACATAAAATCAGCATCTATGGTTCATTTCATTTATAAATGGTATTATTGATTAACCAAATGGTAGATGAGGAGAGGTTTCTTTTTATAGATTTGACTAGAGGCCCGGTCCACAAAATTTGTGCACGGGGTAGGTAGGGGGGGGGGGTGTCCCTTAGCCCAATCTGCACCCTCTCCAATCTGGGACTCCTCAAGGGATGTTGATGACTGCCTATTTAGGTATTGGGCCTAAATGGGCAGTCGGACATTCCTCTCACAGTCCAGGACTACTGGCTCTCAACTGCTCACCTGCCTGCCTTCCTGATTGCCCCTAACCACTCTGCTGCCAGCCTGGTCACCCCCTAACTACTCTGCTGCCACCATGATTGATGCCTAACTGCTTCCCTGCCAGCCTGATTCCCCTAACTTCCCTCCCCTGCAAGCCTGGTCACCCCTAACTGCACTCCCTTGCAGGGTTGATCACTCCCAACTGCCTTCCCTTGCAAGCCTGGTCCTTCTCAACTGCCCTCCCTTGCAGACCTGGTGCCTCCAAACTGGCCTGGTGCATGAGTAGTGGCCAGCCTGTTTGCCCTGAAGGGTGTCCCAGATCAGGGTGGGGTTTCCCTTGGGTGCAGGGCGGCTTAGGCAAGAGGGTTGTGGTGGTTTGCAGGCCAGCCACACCCCCTGGCAACTCAAGCAGAGGCCCTGGTATCTGGGATTTATTTATCTTTTACAATTGAAACTTTGTAGCCTGGATTGAAGGCCTGAGCCAACCAGGGCTGCAGAAGCTTGGCTTCCTCTATCACCCGGGGCAACCCTAGCTTCCTGCTCTTCCAGTTCAGTGTCTGCTGCCATTTTTGTTGGCATTTATTTACCTTCTATAATTGAAATTTTGTACTCTTGAATAGAGGTCTCAGCCAGTCATGGTATGTGGAAAGCTTGAGTTCCTCCATTGTCAGGGAAACCCAAGCCTCACTCCTGTTCCCCCTGGCTGCAGCCATGTTGGTTGGGGTTAATTTGTATACTCGCTTTGGTTGGCTGGTGGGCGTGGCTGGTGGGTGTAGCAGAGTGATGGTTAATTTGCATATCACTCTTATATTAGATAGGATGAGTCAGGGGCCCTGTCCCTAAGCAGGTCTGCCTAGGTGTGGATTCTTAACTTCATGAAGGAAAGATTTCACCATATGAGTCCAGGTGACTATGAGGGTACATTTGTTAATATTGGGGACGGTAAAGCAAAAAGGAAATTAGCATAGAAGAAGCAACAGGATAGTCTAGACTGGTTACTTTGGCTCACTGGGAAGTCAGAGAAAAGGGCGGCTTGGACACATTCAGAAGGTTACCCCAGGATGAGTTGCTGCTGCTCATTGCTTCCCTGTTACAAGTCTTGTGGGTACCCTTTTAGTTTTGGAGATGCCAGGGGTATGCTGCCCAGATGGAGAATGCAGGCTGGGTTCTTTGTCTTGAAGGTTTTTAGATGTCTCTTATAGGCTGCAATCTTAGGGAAGTTTTTAGGAAGGGTTTTAGCAGAATATTTATCAGTTTTCCAGGTGTTCTCTTTCAGGTTCTTGGTGTCTACTCATTGGTCAATGCTAGGGGGTCATTAATAATTGTAGCTGGTCCTGGTGTCCTACACCTAGTTTTAGTGCTTTTCTGGGCATGGAGC